TAATCCAATTGTGTTCATGCTATAATTTAAATCATTATATATGTTACAGACATCCTCAAATTACTTTAAATACAAGTATGAATTTTCTAAATCTAAGCCATGAAAAGAAGGTAAAATTTGAATAATGTCCAGCTTAAAATTAAAATAAGATGCATCAAGAGGGAAAATTATGCATGAAGGTGAACTTATTTTTATGGGATTCATGTGGTCTCTAAGTAATCTAACTCGATTATTCTCATTATAAAGTGACTGATTATCTTCTTCAGCCATATTTTTTGAAAATGATGAGGATACCCTAAAAAATCTACCACTTAATATATGTGATCAAACTCTTATGCCCGTGTAGGAAGAGAATAAAAGGAAGAAGAAAACAAAAAAAATGTTAGATAAAAGAAAAATGAAAAGAGAAAATAAAATAAATATTATAATTTATATAAGAAATTACCTCTCTGACAACAATGTCAAAAATGTGACACAACCAAAAGATTGATGTCTTCTCCTAAGCGTAGAAGTGTCGAAGTAATAAATAACTTGGCAAGACCGGGGTCGAACCATAGGGAGGTTAACTATATAACAATAATGATGATGATGATTTAAAGTGGATTTCGAGATGAAAGATTAATATGAAGATCAAACAATGATAAAAATAGTTGTCAAGGTTAAAGGATCCACCAATGGTATTTCAAACAAGTATAGTATAAACTCTTTTTATTATTCAACTAGAAACCACACACAAAAAAGGTTGCAATCGAATTATAAATTGTTAACATGATTATATTAGTTATCTTATTTGAATAATGTTAATACTTGTAAATGTTGTTAGGTATTTATGATTATAACTCATGTTAACAACAAATCAAGTTCCTTTTATAACACAAGTGTAGGTTATGCCATACGGTTATGCTATGAAAGTGCCAAGTATTTGTTATACCAAGTGTTATATAACATAAATCTAGATTAACCATTTACCAAGAAAAGTATTAAAAGTGAATGACACGACCAAAATATTGATGTTTTCTCCCAAGTGAAGGAGTGTCAAAATAATAAATAATTCGGCAAGACTCAGGTCGAACCATAGGGAGGTTATTTGTATAAATTATAATTAACAACAATACAACAACAACAACAACAACAATAATAATAATAGAAAAAGATGAAGATTAAAAAACCAAAATAAGAACATAAATAAGATAAAAGTTAACTAAGTAAAGAAAAGAAAATGAGAAGCATAAACAAGTGATTAATATAAGTAAAACCTTAGCATTATAATAGAGAAAGAGCAAGAGTATGATCTTGATCTGAAAACCAAGATGCCTAAATGCATGGTAAATGCCTCCTTTTATAGGCCAAAATTCAAAACTATTGATTTAATGACTAATTGTTGAGTGGGTGGCTACATCTTGACTTAGTGACAATCCTTATCTTCTTGTCTAAATAAAATGTCATTGATAATGTCAGAATTTGAACTAGACTTCTATATGAAAGTTCTAGGAAATTGTTGCAACTTTTTAGGAGAAAAAATTGAGGTCCTTTGGACTTCTAACACTTGAGATATGAGCTAAACACTGAATAATGTCTAAACTGCAGGACAGATTCAAACTTTTACATTATTGCTAAGATTTAGACTTCTTTATAATAAAATTGAGTCTTGACTTCTCATAAAAATTATAGGCCTATATCTTAGCTTTCCACCCATATAAAGTAAACCTAAGTTTGAGATCTACATCTCCAGATATGACCAAATTATCGAACAGTGTTCTAGTTTGGACTACACTAGCATCTTTTTTCTAAGTTTGGCCATCTCTTTATCCTTGCAATTTAAGTTCTTCAAGTCATCAATCAATCCTTTCATTTATGTGATAGGCCTGCATTAAAAATAGACATTTACCACAAATTAAAGGTATCTTATATTATTTGATATATTATTATAAAACATGCTTTAGTTAAGGAGTTATTAATACTTCAAGTGCAAAATGATGATATAAAACCTTGATAAAAATGCACTTTTAAGTATTAATCAGTGAACAAGATAAAATATACAAAATATATTAGTATCAAACATTAGAACTTAAGTTATGGGCTGAACACTTAACAATGTCTGGGCTGTAGGATAGACTCAAACTTTTTTGTTGTCGCAAAGATTTGGACTTCCAAATAGCAGATTTGAGTCTTGCATTCCTCATGAATGTTTTAGGCCTATGTCTTAGCTTTTTAGCCATATAAACCAAATTAAAATCTAAGTTCTACTGCTCTAGATATGGCCCAATGACTAAACAGTGTTAAAGTTTGGATTGAACCAACATCTATTTTCTAAGTGATGAGTACTTAAAAGTACATTTTTATCAAGGTTTTATATCATCATTTT